ACTGGCCACCCCAGGGAAGCGACGGCACGAGCCCACGGTCCTTCAGGCGAAGGTTCGGGAACTGCACAGCCCCGGCCTCCAGCCACGCAGCTCCCTCCTGGGGCAGCTGAGCCCCAGGCCCCACACCTGCTCCACCCCGTCTGGTGTCAGTACCTGCAGATGCTGGGATTCCCTAGCAGGGGGGCTGGGGTGCAGCCAGGAGCACTCGTTTCCTCGCTCCCCCTATCCCCTCAGTTGGGCTGGGGCGAACACCTGCACCAAGTGCACACCTGCATTAGCCCTGGGAGCACCTGGATCAGCCCCGGGAGCACCTGGATCGGCCCCGGGAGCACCTGGATCGGCTCCAGGAGCACCTGCATCGAGTGCACACCTGGATCGGCGCCGAGAGCACCTGGATCGAGTGCACACCTGGATCGGCGCCGGGAGCACCTGGATCGAGTGCACACCTGGATCGGCGCCGGGAGCACCTGGATCGAGTGCACACCTGGATCGGCGCCGGGAGCACCTGGATCGAGTGCACACCTGGATCAGCTCTGGGAGCACCTGCATCGGCCCTGGGAGCACCTGCCCCGGGTGCTCAGGGGACGGCTGTTACCAGGCCCCTCCTCACTGTGCTCTGCTTGCCTCTGGATCACTCTCCCTTCGGCCACGGCCACCGCATGGGGACTGAGGCCTTGTCCTCCAGCCCCTCATCCAGCCACGGTTTCCTGTCCTGGATCGCCAGCCGGGCCTCGCGGGAAGACGGGCAGGAGCCGCGGCCACGGGCTGGCCCCTCAGCGGGCAGGGGCAGCTGGGCACAGACGAGCCGGACGGTGGGGACCCGTGAAAGGGGCTCATTTCCGCTGCGAGGTTCTGCCGGTTTCTTTCTTGGGTGAATCTTGCTGCTGGTGGAGCCTCTTCCCCGGGTGGCCTTTCGTTACGGGAGGCTCCACTGACGTCACATGATGTGTAAGCCCACGGAGAGCTGGGACTGGGTCCACCCAACGTGTTTGCGGGAGAGGATGAGCGTGGAGGCGTGAGGAGTCACGCAGGCCATGCCGTGGTGGCTGGTGCCCGTGTGACCGGCAGGCCCGGCTGCCCTGTGTTCGCGCTGTTGTGTCAGCGTGGCCCTGACCCCCGGGAGGCGGAGTGCAGTGTCCGGGGGTCATTTAGAGAGAAGATGGTTGAGGTGGGCGTGGATGCATCTGGAAGGCACGGTCCCTCCACGCAGGTGCAGGTGGTGTCCTCGCCGCCCAGAGAGCACGCCTGCGGGTTCCAGCGGAGCCGGTTTGCCGTGAGCTCGCCTGGAGGGATCACGGGCCGAGTTTAGCACCGGGTCTTCTCAGAGGAAAGCAGCTCCAAGTCCCTGCCCCGCGCTCACACCTTCCCCCAGGACGGAACCCACGCGCCCCTCGGCTCCCTGTCCGCGCCCCCTGCGTGCGCATCTGTGGGCCCCTTGCGGCCTGGGCCTGGCGCCTGAGCAGCACTGGAAAGAGAACTGGCACGGGGTGGACAGGGGCTAATTCAGGGGCAGCTTACACAGCGGCCGGGTCCTCCGTGCTGGCTGGTGCAGGAGGGACATGAGCCACCTCGGCGGCCACCCCAGGACGTGTCCTCAGCCCACAGGAGCGGCCTCAGCTCGGGAGAACGGCAAAGACCATGCCCATTGGCATGGTGGCCGGGCAGTGCCCGGGAGCAGGGTGGCTCATCTTTGCTTGTCTGCCTGGGCGAGGGGAAGGGGGTGTTTGCTGAGCCCTGAGCCCCGAGTCACTGCAGAGCCCCCTCTCCCTCACCTGGACGGACCTGCAGCTGCGCTCCCTAGCGGGGGCCACCCCCCTCCCTCCGGGGCCTCCTGGGCTGTGGCTGCAATTCCCTTGTCTGGCTCCAGTCCGGGTTCTGGAACATTCCATGGGAAATAGAGCTTTGGAAGCAGAGAGAAGCGTCTGGAAAAGGCCCGTCCATGGACACGAGTTTGGTTGCGATCGGGGACGGGGCCTGTTCTGAGGGTGGCTTCCCGCTGCGCGTACGTGCCTTGTGGGCTCCTCGCCCGTGTCCCGTCTGTGTCCGGCTTTGTGGACGCGCATGTGCCTGTCGCTGTCCCCATCCTCACTGGCCGGCTCCCGAGCGGTCCGCCCGCCGGGCCACGCTGGTGACTGAACCGCGGACTCGGCTGCTCCAGCCCCGTCGAGGGGGGAGCGAGGGGCGCACGTGTCCGTGTGTGAGCGCCCGTCGGACCTGTGAGAGCGAGTGAGCGAGGAGATGTCCGATGCTGTTATTTTGATATTTATACGGAGAGCCTGACTCCCTTCGGTCGGTACTGTGCGCGCTGTCTCTGTGACCCGGGCCTGTCTCGCGTGTGCGCCCGCGTCAGCCGGGGCCCCCGACGGAAATGCCTCACCGTCTGGGGTCCAGGAGACGTGGTGTGCGACCTGGGCGTGAGCAGGCCTGTGCTTTCTTACGACTGTGAAATACACGTTCCCTCACTGTGGCGGCTGCTGCATTTGTTTGTTTGTTGACAAATCGGGAAACATCGGGCAGTTGTTCCATCTTCTGAGTCAAGCTCTCGGCCCACGAGGGGCAGCGTGGGTGGGCGTCCAGGTGGGTGTGGGGGCTTTTCCTGCTCCCGTGCCCCCGCTTTGTCCACCGATGGCTGTGGGGCTGGCCCGGCAGGTGGCAGTTCGGGGTGAGGCAGCATTTTCCTTGGGGGGGGCGGGGTGTGGCTTCAGGGTCTCCCGGGAAGACGGAAAGGCGAGGGGTGGGGAGCGGTGAGGAGGTGGGAAGGGGCGGTTGGTGGCCGCTTGGGTCCGCCCCGTCCCGGGGGCCTGACTCCCCCCGTTAGCGAGCACGGCGTGTTTTGTGTGCGTCCCCTGCACACGGTGGCTCCGCGGGTGGCCTGGTGGGAAGTGAGACCCTATGAGGAGCCTGGGGTTGGATGGAGCAGGGACGGGGCACGACTGGCCATCTGGTTTTTGGGTTTTGTTTGATTTTTTAAATTGATTTCAGAGAGGAAAGGAGAAGGAGAAAGAGAGAAACATCAATGATGAGAGAGAATCACTGACCGGCTGCCTCCTGCACGCCCCACACTGGGGATCGAGCCCACAACCCGTCACGTGCCCTTGACTGGAATTGAACCCTGACCTCTTGGTTCATAGGTCGATGCTCAACCACTGAGCCATACTGGCCGGGCAGTAATCAGAACATTTTAGGGCAGAAGAGACCTGAGGTTATGTGACTGAACCCAGCTTTTCTGAAGACAAAACCGGGGCCTCAATAAAGCTTTGTTTCTTACGGAAACGTTGCTGTGGCTCAGGCTCCTGGGCCCTTGAATGAGCTGGGGGTGGGGGGTTGGGGTGCAGGTCAGAGAACACGAGAGGCGACGGCAGGGCGCGTGGACGGGGATGGCAGCCGGGGGCCCTTTTAAAAAGAATGTTGTAGCTAATCCTCACCAGAGGGTGTTTTTCCAGTGAATTTTAGAGAAAATGGGAGGGAGGGGGAGAGACATAGATGTGAGAGAGAGACATCGATTGGTTGCCTCCCGCAGGCACCCTGACCAGGGCCGGGAGGAGCCTGCAACCACGGTACATGCCCTTGACTGGAATCGAGCCCGGGACCCTTCAGTCCTTGGAGGCGCCCCACCCGCCCTGCTCATCGGCTAGGGAGGCCGCGAGTCCCTCTCAAGGTGGGTCCTTGGCGTCCACCAGCCTCGCAGGCCGGCCCGTCCAGGGCACAGAATCCAGCCCAATGGTGGGCGTATTCGTGGCGCAAACACAAAATGCTTCTCCGGTCTGTGATGCTCAGTTTCCCGTGGCACCTGACTCGCCACATGGCCCCAGTTAAACGCCGTTCCTGGTGTCTCTGGAGGGCGGTGAGGGCGTCCGTGTTTGGATCGGG